CCCCACTTTGAGAAAGACCCCAATCATGGTGTTAACTCAAAACTTGTGGATTGTGCTAGTTACAGATGTTTAAAGCTTGATATTTCATCAGTAGGTACAGGATAGGAAGACTGATTTTTAACTAACATCTAAAATGATGACAGCTAGCCAAATTTCATCCATTTCTTCTGCAAATTGTAAACTCTCAAATACCATGGTCATTTTACTGCCTCGCTAATTTACTATAAGAGGCATAGTAGACCTTTGGCATGAATTACTACTCTCTGATACGGTTACAACTTTTGAAATTCCAGTGAAACTCACTAACCTACCAGAGAGGCTGTGGAGTATTTAGCTCTTCAGATAACTTCAGGTTGAGGTCAGTCCTTGACTTGTTGACACTTTGTAACATTTGATGAAGAGAAGTTGATGCCTCTTAACTTCTTTCAAGTTAAACACACTTCGCTTTTGCAGTTCTCAAAATAAATGGGGAAAAGTCAGTAACTGAGCACAGAATGGCAGAGACTGGTGCATTCACTTAGGCTGTGTTTCTGTGGCAACACTTGTTCTGGGAGATGACTTCTTTTGTCAAGACTCAAGCATCAGGGAGGTCAGGGTGGGTATGAATTGCTCTTATTTTTGTTTTGTTTTGACAAGCTCCAAGCGTGCATAAGGACTCTGGGGTGCCTGTGGACTGTCAGCTTGGTTAGAAGCCCAAAAGCTGAAATCTTTCACATCTGAAAGATGTACTCTTTATAGATGGATTGTGTTTCTATGCCCCATTCTCCTTCCTCCGCCATTTTCTTTCACTGCTTAATTTAGGAAAAGCTTTGTGGAGCAAAGACCTTTCCTTCTAAAACTGAAGAAACCGCATTTCTGAAGTGGTTCAGAAAGGGACAACCAGTGACGAGGACAAGTAAAGAAACACCCTGGCCTTTACAGATAAACTTATTTGGTGCTCTAAAAATAGTGGCTTGCAAGAACATCAGGGAAGGGGGGCAAGTTTGGCTGGGCATGACGTGTGACTGTTGAGAGCTAATCTACAGAGAAAGGAGAAATCTATTTAAAAATGGATGACCTTAAAATAAAGAACAATATATAAAACAAAAGGATGCCAGAGATAACTAAGAAGGTAATCCCATTTGGTTTATCCAGCAAGCATTAAGAGTTGTGTGAGGTTAACTGACAGTGCTTTGTTTTCTCCTGGGTTGCTGCTGTGCTGCGGATGTGAAATACCACATTAAGGTGTCACTCTTCTTGCAGCAGAGGCTATTTTGAGAGAACAGGCAGGATAACTGTTAAGACTCAAAACTGTTCATTCTGTTACGAAACAGCACATAGTCTTATAGCAGTTCACTGGTGTATTTGCTTTTGCTGTAACAGAAGTTAATATATAAGGAAAAATGCTGTTTCATAATTAAATAGGAAAATAAGCTGAAGAGAAAAAGTTTAGGGACCACTAAAGGATTTCAGGTTATTCTTTACTGAATCTGCAAGATCTGAATTAATGCAGAGTTTTTTAGTTTTGGTTTTTCCTGGGACATTCAGAAAGGGAGGGTGAATACTATTCAATGAAGGTGCATCCTTTCATGTTAGACACTGTTATGTAATACAAAGATTTCAACATAATATAGAATAAGCTAATACAAACTCAACTATATTTAAAGCCACTGTGGAAGATGAAAGGAAAAAAGCCATGCTTAGTGTACGTTGTCTTTGTTCTGTAGCTGCTTTCTAAAATATGTGGCCCTAACAAATTTGTCTAGTCACTGTTTGACCAGAAAGATCTGTACAGAAAACATCCAGTGTCAAGTTGCCTTTTCAGAAGGCAAAAACTTCCACACTGTCCTTTGTAACTGAAAGGATGCTGCTGTTACTCCATTTTCTGTAGATAAGTGTTCATCCTCATGGCATAGGTAATTCGTGTTTCCTGAATCTGTTGGCTTTTTTCGTGGAAAAGTTATGTGGGCATATTGGCATTTCATCTTGCTCTGATATTTTGCAGGACTGAGAATTTCAAATAATACCAGCGGGAAGGTGTTTGGGGTGCTGACCTGCATTCTAAAACCAGTTTTCAGTGTTCACTGACTTAACAGTTTGATGCTTCTCATTCTTCACTGTCCCTGCTGGTTTCAAGCTCTTCTGAGATTTTTGTCTTTGGTCCCCCTGTAGAGGATTGTGGACGATGTCAGTGTCCTTATTCTCAAATAGAAGTGACTGTGTGCTCAGTGGTAGTGCTTTGAGCAGAATCTGAATAAAACGTGGCCATGTATGCCTCTTCCTAGAAGCTACTCCTTCCAGGCTGGTGGGACATGATGCAGCAAAGCAGTACAATTAGACATGACAAGTAGTTAACATACTGTCAAAAATCAATTAATTTTAATCCTTTCTCCTCCTGAACGGAATTGTCTGCAACCTGCACTTCGCTTACCTCAAAGATTTCAAGACTACTGCCTTGCTCTTTGGTTTTCTTCTGCCTCAGTCTTGTAATCTGACAAAACACAGCTGGTCTACTGATATCTCTTGGCTGTGTCCTGGCAAGTCAGCATTAGTGACTGACTCTGTGTGAGCATCTCTTTGATACAAAAGCTGTGCAGCAGGGGATTTGTTGAAGACATGAAGACATAAAGCCAGAAAAACTGATAAGTAAACATAGATCAGAAGCATAGTATTTCTTTTGTCCTGTGCTTAAAATGACCAGGTCAGAGCCCACGAGTTAAAAAAGGAACTGTTAGATGTTCTGCTGAAGCTGGTATGGATCTGAAAAGTCATACAGTGGCAGGATGTTAAAAGTAAAAAGCCGAACAAAACCTGAAAGTTTATTAAGAGCCAAGTTAAACCAGTACAAGTTATGGCATGAATTCCTCAATTCGGGTTTTAAATGTCCTATTAGATTGAGAGTTAGAGAAACTGTTTGGAGTAACTGCTGTAGTTTCATAGTTTAGTTTTATGGTGTGGTTCAAACAGGGGAGGGGCGGTAATTTTTGCTCTGATTTACAGAACTAAAGGCATAGGTTAAAAGCTAGGCTTGTAAATAGTTAGAAGCTCTTAATTCCACTGTTTAAAGTCAAGGTCTTGATGGCTGTAGCCAGAGCTTGACTCTGCTTGCAGAGCCTTTCTACACCAATTCAATACCAGTATCTGAAAGGGAAGAATAACTTTCCCTCAACTAAGTGTATATTTGGTTATTGTCATCCTGCCAGAGCTGACAGCTATTTGGCTGACCAGTCTGACTCGAAACTGAACTATTGTTAGTGCTTCCAGATCAATAATGCTGTAGTTTAGAATAGGCTGTCTGTAAATATTTTGCTAACCATACATTATTAGAAGCTTTGAAGTCTTATTCCTAGTCTTATAAGCAGCCCTAGTGTGCTGTCTTGCTGAAGAATAATATTCAGTCTAGGCTTTTTGCTGGGGGAGAATGGCAAACTTCTGTAGAAAATTTAACATGCAAAGCACATTTTTCTTAAAATAAATGGGTCATTCCTCTGTGAAATCCTGTGTAAACAGGTTTTATAAATCGACAGCAGAGAAAGCTGCAGAATGCCACCTATAAAGCAGTGTTTATCTGCTCTGTTTGATGTGCAGTGGCTATGTACCTAGTAGATACTCTGGTAGTTCATCCTCTAATAACTTAGAACCAAGACATGAGGAATGGGAAAGTGATTGTTCTTCTGTCATAACCTTACTAGAAGCTCTGTAGGAATGAAATGGCCTAATTCCTGCTACTTGCTTGACGGTGTAATTTTACAGCATTTTGTCATGTGCAGACAACACCGATGTCAGGATAACGACTCCTGAACAGTACCTATAGAGCTAATAGGTTTGCATGTTTTGGTTCTGTTGTTTGGGATGTTTTTATCAACTTTGACAGCAGTGCCTTGTAGACATAAACTATGGCAGATTTCCTTGGGACCTGTCTGCTGTAGGATTTTAGGAGTCCTTCATTCATAGGTTAGTGCAGCGTAGGAGATTGGCTGCTAAGGAATTTGAACCTACTGACAGATGGGATGGTTTATAAAACTAGGGGAAGTTCAGTGTCTTGCTGTCCAGGCAGCACAATAATTAAAAAAAGCTTGAATGTGCAGTTGGTTAACTTGCCCTATGACTTACTAGTAGTCTTTTACATTGCTTTAGGAAGACTGTCCAGAAATCATATTCTGTATTTTACTTCAGAACTTTATAGGTTGCAAATTAATTTCACATTTGCATTGGCAGGTAATGTCCAGACAAGGACCTAATGCTTTTTTGTTTTGTTTTGGGGGTTTTTTTATTTATTTTTTTTTTTCCCCCTACAAGTTTTTCTGTACGTAGTTTTAGACTGACCAAAAGGAAACAAAGGCCTGATAGATTTAATGGGTTTTAAAATTATATCATAGAACATGTCTCACATTTTTTTCTGTCCCTCTTTTGCTTTTTTTGTCTTTCTTGAAACTTTGTTTATGGTAAGTGTTTTGGTCTGCACCTGGCTCTTAAGTCCTCCATGTAATGTGTGGTGTTGTGGCTTCTGATCCAGTTAGTTTCCTAGCACTCAGTTTTGTCTGACAAAAGGGTGGTTCACCAGGGAGAAAGAATGCAGGCAACAATTACAAGCTAGACTGCTGTTTCAGAGTTGAAGTGATTGCAAGGACAGTAGGACATGAGAGCAGAGGAGTTGTAGCTTTGGGAACCAGCTGTCTGAAGTATAGGTCTCTGCTGTGGGCAGTTTCTCTGTTTCATGTGGTAGTTGTGTGCTAAGCAAAATGCTTCAGGTTTTGTTTTGGGTTGTTGGTTTTTTTTCGTGTGTGGCTTTTTCAAAAGGGGGATAAAGGGGGAACGAACCACTGAGGTGCTGAGACTCAAGCACTTCAGTAGGGAAGTTCTTTGGCTGCGTAATCTTTAATTTGGACTCATTCGTATGTTTCGGGACAGAAATTACTGGGTAGAAATGTGCTTAAAAATGTTAGTAAACCTAAGTGGTGTACTGGCGAGGTGATGGTTATACAGCATTAACCTGCTTGCTTTTTGGGGATATTACTGAAATGTGCAACTGTGAAAGAACAATTCTTTTTTTGGCAGCTGTGGCAAGCCCTGTTTTGTGGCAGAAGGACTGTGTAAAGGGTCCAGAGGTGTGGTGTCAGAGTGTTCGGACAGCATCACAGTGTGGAGCGGTGAAACACTGCCAGCAGAATGTTTGGAACAAGCCTACTGTAGTAAGTATTGACTACTGAGACTTTTTGCCTGTATCTGAGTTTCCAAATGCTGGTTTCCATATGTTCATGAAGATATTTAAGTTTCTGACCAGAGTTAAGTGCTACATCTATCTATGCCTTGGATACTGTGCCTTAATTTGGGTGCTAGATAAAGGTTGCTTTCCACTTCTCTGACTTGCACAACTTGTCTGCTGACTTTTCTTGTGACCTGTTGCACAATCACCAAGTGATGTGTGGAAAGGAGCTAGCGTAATTTAAGACTTGTTCCTCTAGTAAACCGACTCCTAATTCATAAAGTCTTTTCTTATTCTTCACTTGAGCAATGCCGAACTGATAGGCTTATTACAAAAAAAAAAAAAAAAAAAATGCTTCTTTAGGTCTTTCTCATAAGTTAATGTTCCACAAAAGGTGCAAAATATAATAAGTTATGAAAGCCGTAACAGTAAACAGTAGTACATTTAGTGTGGCTTTTCAAGTTGCATTTGTACTAAGTAGGAGTGCTGATTTACTAGATGTAGCTGTAATGTGTGGTATTGATTCACAATTTTCTAGGGGGGAAAAGGCATTTTACTTACAGATGCATTCAGTCTCCCTCGTCTATATCTGTGTCAATATATGTTCCAGCTTGTGGAAAAGTAGGGGAAGGGAGGAATGTCAATGGCAGAGCACAACTAAAATGTGTGAAGTATCCTGAAGAGTTCTTAAGATTTCTAGTAAGTGTGAACTCGGAAGAGTAAGGTAAAAGAGATTCAGGAGGATGCTTCTCCAGGCGATATACTTTATACTTCAAGGGAGGTGGGACTACTTGAAATAAGCAAGTGGTAGCATGCCTGCTTCTTCATACCATGTTTATGTACTGAAGAAACTGGAGCCGAACATGCTTGGAATTGCCTTACTATTTAAAACCACCTCTTTCCACCCCAGCTGCAGCCTGTATTTCTTCCCTAACTTCAATTCCAAATGTGATGCTTGTTTTTCATATTTATTTGCACGCTGCATTTACAAATACTTAAGTCTGTCTTAAACTAACTCTACTTCTTTCTCCAGAACAGTATCCCCTGTGACTTATGTAAGGAACTTGTGACAGTGGCTGGCAAGGTTTTGAAGGATAATGGCACTGAGGTAAGCAGAGCTCCCCTTCTTGCCCCAGGGTACTGTTTGATTTCATTGTCTTAAGATCACAAGGTGAGGTGGTAGAAGATGATGTTTTCCCAACCTAAGCAGCAGATGTTGAAAGTGGCCAGAGTACATGGGGAAAAGGCTTTTAAACAGCCTTTTCTGGTTTAGAAATTAGCAAATCCTCTCATGCTTTAACATCCCTGATTGACTGTAGAAGCTTAATGAAATTGTTTCTTGTGCCAGTGGGCCATCAATCTTCAAAGGTGGGATACCACAGTCCCTAGACTATTACACCAAGTAGACTTTATTCTGGTTGTGCGTGCCTCTTCCCTTTTTCTCTTGTGAACCTGGGAGTACTTTGTATAAACAAATCATTGTCCCATTGGTCTGTAATTTCACTTGCTCTTCTCAAATGTAAGTGCTCTGTGCTGGCAAGACTCTGTTGGGCAGGCCTTGAAAGCAGCATTTCATGTTTTCATTTTGTCAGGGTCTCATCAAAGGTCCAAGCCTAGGGAAAATAAGTCTACAGTGTAAAACCTTATTCTAGTTTTGCTTCCCAGCTGCTTGGACCTTGCGTGAGTCCAAGGGGCTTTTTTTCTGGGTATGTTATGCGTTTTGGGAATGAAAGAGCATTTGAGACAGGCAGACATACGTATTTTGATAGTTTATAGCTCACCTTATCTTCTATAGGATGAGATCCGCTCTTACTTGGAAAAGACGTGTGAGTTTCTTCCTGACCAAGGCCTGGTCTCTGAGTGCAAAGAAATTGTGGATTCGTACCTACCTGTTATCATGGATATGATCAAAGAAGAGCTGGTAAGTAGGTAACAGTTTGCAACTTTTGGAATTGAAAGTTTTGTTCCTGTCAATGCCTGAATTTCTCTTTCAAGATTGTGCGTATTATCTTTCAGTCTTGTATGGATCACTGGTGTTGCCATTAATGGTGTAAGTTTGAAAACTGCTTCCTTGCTGTGAAACATTTTCCCTTCCATGTTCTGCTGAAAGACTTTCTACTCTGAACTTTGTATAAAAGTGCCATCAGTCTAGAGCTTTATGTATGTATCATATCTCCCCTAGGATAAACCTGAAGTTGTATGTAGTGCCCTTGCACTGTGCCAGTCCCTTCAGAAACACCTCGCAGCAATGAAACTTCAGAAACAACTCCAGTCAAATAAGATACCGGAGCTGGATTTCTCTGAACTGGCATCCCCATTCATGGCTAATGTGCCTCTTCTCCTTTACCCTCAGGACAAACCCAAGCAGAAGTCAAAGGTAAGGGTGCAGTGCTATTCCAGCGTGCAAGTGAAGTGTGAGTTTTTTGCTTCAGCGCTCCTTTGCATAAGAACTTGATGGTTCTCAGTAAGGGATTGTTGTACTGGGTACAAATTAAGCTGATATGTTTCACCTGGTTGACTGTCTCCTATTGAATTTTGTGCTGCTGCATAAAGATTCTTCCTCAACCTGTGGGTTTAAGGCTAAGTAAGACGATAGCTGCACCCCCTGTGGACCATAGGTATAATCCTGTATTAACAGCCACAGTTTATAAAGACAGGTCTTATGCTAGGTTGTTCCCACCCAGGATTGTATAAGTCAAGCAGGCCTTACTAGAAACAATTTCTTCTGTGAGCAAGTTTGACACCGGTGTTCCAAGGAGGAAGAATTCTCTGGCATTCTGAGTGATCTCCTAGATGTGCCCTTCAGGGGAAGCATTCATCCAGAGGTGACAGACTGAATCAGAGAAGAACAAATAGTTGACAAAGGGGAGTAGATGAGACAATGAGCTTGTGAGTAGAGGCTGCATCTTGATAGCAAGTCTAGATACAGGAAGTAAACAGTTGAGTGGGTGGAGAACTAGCTGCAGTGGGTGGAGCAGATAAGATCTGTGCTAGACTTGGAAACCTTCCCACTGTGGTCTGTCACAAAACCAAGAGATTTTGAAGATTGGTTATCTTAGCAGTTATCTTGGGTTTCAGAGCTAAGTAGATACCTAATCTGCATCTAGTGGCTGGTGCAAATACCAGCAGTAGCTTGTCTATTCATATTATAGCTTAGGCTTTTAAGTATTCTATTGAATATTAAGGTTTATATATAGTTCAGAATAGCTTTTAAAACTTGGTAGTAGCAGAAGCTTCTAAGACATATTATGTGAAGATATGTCAACTTGTTTCCTTTCACTCTTTGTCTAGGGAAGTGGGGATGTATGCCAAGATTGCATTCAGCTGGTTACTGATGTTCAGGAAGCTGTGAGGACAAACTCATCTTTTGTAAAGTCTTTGGTTGCTCATGCTAAGGAGGAGTGTGACCGTTTGGGACCTGAAATGTCTGATATGGTAAGTGCTTTTTTTATTGTTGTTTAAATATTTGTTCCTGTGTGCACACATAAAAGTTTGTTTAGTGCCTTCATCCTCTCAGTGTAATCTCTATTTAATATAACTAAGGAGAGCGTGTCACATGTAGAATATGTTACACAGCATAACAATAACAGTGAAATAATAAACTTTCTGGTCAAGGAAGCTGGGTGGTGTGGTGTGTATGGGACTAGGGAGGAAGAAGAAGACTCAAGATTCCTGATAGCCCTTCAAGGCCTTTTTCATAAAAATGATCTGGCAGGGTAATGTGGTCATATCAATGAGGGGGAGTGCTTTTGCCCTAAGAGGAAGAGAAAAGAACTTATCAAATAAGCAGCTATGTGTGCAATGATTGTGTAACTTGAAATACCATCTTATATTTGGGACAAGGTCTGAAAGACAACAGAATAGTTATTAAGTAGGTTAAAGTTAATTAATACCTGGAGAAGTATTAGAAAATTCTAAATTAACTTTGCAGCGTAAATGGTTTGATATTTACAAGACTTTTTTCCTCACTTCCTGCAGTGCAAGAACTATATCTCTGAATATTCTGACTTGGCCATCCAAATGATGATGCACATGGTAAGATCAGTAGAATATAGTATTTTCTCTCAGTTCATTTTTTTTGTTTCGTGTAGCTAACTTATATGAAAACAGGAAACATTTACTGCAGTAAAAGCCCGAGTAGAATGTTTGCTGTGTAAGTCTTGGTGTTAACACTTTCAACCTGGCATTTAATTGAACAGTAAGTTCAATCTTAGAATGCTTTCTTTAGTGCTTTCCTCTTCTTTCACAACCACTTTAGTGGTGCAGAAGGCAATCTTACCTGTTGAAACACAGAAGATGCATTACATATGTTCCTTGATACTCTTATCTCAGTCCTGTACTTACACCACTGCTCCCCTCCCCACCAAATACTGTTAAGCATATTAGAGTTGGCCTTTGTCCCAGTATTGCAAAATTGATTCATGTACTGGAGATAATGTGTCTGTTTGAAGCAAGACTAAATGTCTTTTTTTCTGGAATTGCTGTCTCAAGACTCCTTATAGGAGTCATGGAAAGGATAGGAGCCATGGAGAGTGAGTGGTACTGTACCAGCTCTTGTCTTCTGTAGCAATGTACAAGACATACAAATGCTCTGACCACCTCCATAGCACCTCTTCATCCAGTATCTCAAAGTCTTTAAGAAAAAAAGTTAAGTCTTTCCTTAAAGAGTGCAGTGCCTGGATGACACAAGTAATATAAAAAATTATGGGTGGATTTATGAATAGAGTATGTGACAGACTTGAATCTGGATTTGGCAACATAGTGGCTTTTGTTGCTGTTGCTTTTTTTTGTGGTGTTTTTTTTTTCTTGTTTGTTTGTTTGTTTCCAGTTCATAAAGGCTACTTAGAAGTTTACACTGCTTCTTAAGCATTTGGAGGGGAAGCAAATCTTTGTTCCAAATACATCTGGTTTCTCATTTTAAGCATTGCAATGCAGTGTGGTGTTAATACCTGAAATTGGAATGTGACCACACCTTGCATCTGGCTGAGTGTTCACACTCTTTGAAAGTAGTCTTGCCCAGGATGCTTTAATAACTTTGAATGAATAATGCTGGTTAGCATTGTGCAATTAAATACGAGTTGCTGTAGCAATGCTAAGGATCTTTGGGATGGGGGACCATGTAATATTCCATCATTTTCATGGAAAGTATATGGAGTTCCAAGTGCCTGTTATCTCTTAACTGTTATCTTTAATTTCTCCTTTCTTCCTCTGTCTCCAATCTTCCCTGTCAACAGAAGGATCAGGTAGGTGAGCAACTTGCCTGTGGTGATAGCCTGCTTGTAGTTCATTTCTTGCTCTCAAAGGGCTTGTAGTTCACTTCTTGCTTGAATAGCTGTTTACATGGTGTGATTGTACTCAGTGTTGACAGATACAAGGGATATTTATGTAATTGAAACAGAGAAAGACTATAGACTTCTCCTCCAGTGGTCATTCCTACTTCCAGCTCCAAATACCAGTTTGTGCTACTAAGATTTCAGCTTGATTAGGCTTTGGGCAGTAGAGCAGAAAATGTGCTCACTCTTGTACAAGAAGGATAGATGTGGAAGCAGCATGCCAGTGGCTCCTGTCAGCTTCTGGTTTGAAGTCTGGGCTCAAAAGGGCTTGAGTGAAGCTGTCCCCAGGTCTTTTCTTGGTTAACCTTTAAATCTTGGACAATGGTATAGATGTTTGGAGTACATGAATTGAAAAGAAGAAGCAGGAGGCCTTTAGGCTCCTGCTTTCTAGAGCTGTTTGGGCTTATAATTTTACCAGTCCTGGGAGACCTTGTGTCTGTCATCTCTCTGTGAGAGAGCATGCTGTGTGTATGTGGGTGTTGCTGTAACATTAATATCTGGAAATGATTCTTGCAATGCATGAACCAAAGGGCTTGACTTAAAGATACTGCCTGGAGTAGTCTGAAGCAGCACTGTATCTTGAGATACTGTTTTTGCCTGTGCATGAGGTTGTGCATGATATATTAACTGTTGCATAAGCTTCTGCTGTAAGAAGCTTGATGCCCGGGTGACAGGGTATGATCTTCTAATTATCTGTAAGACCAAAGGTAACTTTTTTTAGCTTAAGTAGACTTCAGGTGGGAAAATTCAAGTTTTGCATATTACTTTGGACAGCCTTTCTCACTTTGTGTAGGTATAATGTGGCCTCCTTAGAGCAGTTTACCTGATGTCTGGCGTTTACTTTTTGCATTTAGTAATTGTCTAATTAGCTGCAGACTGAACCTCCACTTCGGGGGAAAGAAGTAGGGGGGAGTGAGCAAGCAGCTGCATGGTTCTGAGTTACTGGCTGGGCTTAAACCACAACAGTAATATGTTTTTAAAACCTTTGAGAGACTTACTAAAGGCTTTGTTTCTGTTTTCCCTCTTACTGTGAAAAGAACACTTGAAATAGTTACTGTTGATACTTTTGAAAAGGGTTAAGCTTAGGTTTTTACACGGTTAACTTTTGTTTCTTATAGGCTGTGTTCGATAATGCGGGAATGTGTTTCTTTTTGCAAAATGTGATGTTACTGGATGCTTTAAAGAAGGTAGTTTGTGGATGAGAAAAGGAGTCCTTTCTGCTAGCCATTTCTTTCAGCTTTTGGGTGAACTCTGGAGTCAAGATAATTAGCCTCTTCTGTGATTACTTTAAAGCTTTCAGGGGAGCAGCTTGTGGATTCAGATCTAATGTGATGCTGGTGGCCTGTTTTGGTGTTGGTAGCTCTTAAGTCAACTCCTTTGAAGGATTTGCATAGCTTGTGGTAAATGGGGTTTTTAAATGGATGTGGCCTAACCTTTTCCTCCTCAAAGGAAAGATGCTAAACTTCATCTGGTAGTTGTCCTGCCTATAACCATGTCAAATGCTTTGGCAATACTTGAAGTAGAAGTAGTCATGAAACTTCTAGTTATGTTGGAGCCTTCTAAAACTTTGTGTCTATTCACAGGCTCCATAAAAAGGGCAGTCTTTTAGGCTTCTAAAAATTGCTTTTACATCTCTTTCCAGCAACCAAAGGACATTTGTGCCATGGTTGGGTTCTGTTCTTCTGTGAAATCTGTTCCCCTTCAGACTCTGGTACCAGCTCAAGTGGTTCATGAAGTAAAAATGGAAACAGTGGAGGTAAGATAGACTTCCTGTGCTCAACAGCTTTACCTTCCTTTTTGCTCTAGTGTAACAAACTAGGTGAAATGGAAAAATATGAGCTTTTATGTGTAGAATAATCCAAGTCTCCCTGCATAGAAATTCCTGGCTGCCTCTTGTTTCTGATGCTGATCTGTGAAGTAGGAGTGCTGATTGATTTGTTAGAGTAACAAAGCCTAAGTTAAATCGAAGCTATATGGTAATGGTTAGGATTAAAATGGAAACTCTTTTTCCAGTAGGAGTGTATAGTAGCCATTCTAAATGACGCCTCAAATGTTAGAGGGAAAATTGCTGAATTTGAATTTTTATCTACGTTTGGAGTTATGCTTTGATCCCTTTTAAAAATGGGTTAGCACTTTGCATGAGCAGATGAGTGATCACAGAATGCTGGAGCTCTCGAGTTTGGAGGAGCACCTTAGCTTCCCAGGGCCTTTGAGCAAGACATGGGCTGAGGGTTTTTGGGAAAGAGGAGTCTCTTGAGGTCAGTTAACTTCTGATTCACAGGCTCCAAATAATTTCCCTCAAGTCTCTCGATTTCTGTGTTTCTTCTAGAAGCAAGAGGGTGTTCTCAATGTATTCTAATAAACACTTCAAATTTTCCTTGACTCCAGTCACTGTGGGGTTGCTTATTTTTCCATGTCTACTAAATTCAACTCGCCTTCTTATACAACCTGTGGACTGTAGTCTTAATGAAGTCATAACTGTTCATTCAGAAAGGGTTTTTACCGAGACCTTTAAGGTTGGGTTTGGGTTCTGTCTGACCACCTGAATCCAGCTCAAACTGGACAGCTAGGTAAATGAATTAGTGTGCTGCACCTCAATGTGAATGCTGTTAAACTGATCTTTTACAAATTGTTCCTGTCAAATGGTCAAGTTCTGATTTATTGTTTTCTATGTTTCTTCTGTGTGTGCTCAGAAAGCCTCAGTTCAAGAGAAGACTCTTTCCTTGTGTGAAATATGTGAGACCATGGTGAAAGAAGTGACTGGCCTCTTGGAGAGCAACAAGACAGAGGTGTGTAAGTGGTGGAGATGGTACCTCTTCCTAGGCTTTGGCTAAAATGGGGCTGTATTGTAGGGAGAAGGAAAGTTATTTTTGCTGTCTGTTTTCATGAGAGCAAGATTTCCATCCTGGGTTGGAGCAGAGTAAGAAAACATATACTAATGAATCGAGTCAGATTTTTGTTCCTCATTTGCCATATATCCTTCATTGTGCTTCAGGAGGAGATTGTACATGAAATGGAGGTGGTCTGCTACCTGTTCCCAGCAAGTGTCAAGGACCAGTGTAAGGACTTCATTGATGTCTATGGCCAGGCTCTGGTTGACATGCTTTTGGAGGCAACAAATCCTGAAGCTGTGTGTGTTATGCTGAAATGCTGTGCTGCCAACAAGCCTCCACCGCCACCAGGTTAGTAATGAGGAGTCACTGGTGTTGCAAAATGAGCTGGTTCACCTATGATTGTATCTCATTTGAGGACATGTGCTTTAGTACTTTGCTGCCTCCTTTCTTCCATTTAGAGGAACTACCTAAGCACTGATGTTTGTTTTTTGGTGGGTTTTTTGTTCTCAGTTTTAGTGAAACCTGCAGGTGGCTTCTGTGATATCTGCAAGATGGTGGTATCTTATGCAGACAAAGAACTAGAGAAGAATGCCACAACAGCTGAAATTGAAGCTTTACTGGAAAAAGTCTGTCACTTCCTGCCAGAGTCTGTCCGTGATCAGGTAAAACACTTGTGCAGGAGGCAGGCTAAAAAACAATGGTCTTGTTGATGGTTGGGAACTGTCCTTGTTGATTTTTGATTTGTTTTACATAGGTACTACAGTGACAATTATGCTTACCTCAGTTTTACCTGATGGTCCGTTGGGTTTACATAGGCCCTACAGTGATAATCATGCTTATTTTGTTTTCTGAGTCTTTCACCTGATATTCTGTCTACATGCTAATTTTAGGTGCATCTCGCAAGTGTGTCTACTTCTGCTATAAATGTCCAGGTACTTGTAATAGAGGTCTCTGTGTTTGGCCAACTACCTTGGTCTGTAGCTGGAGACAAACTGTCCACAGGTGCAGCTGGGACTGGCTTGTGTTCAGCAACCTGATCCTTCTTAGGTTTCTCTCTTTACTAGTTAGCACCAAAGCATAGCGGCTTCTCATGTGCAGTAGAGCAAAAAAGAGGGAGCAGGCTTCATCGGAGGCAGTCAAGTGACCACACAGACTTTGTTGTGTGGCAGCCTGCGTTCCAGTCAGAACAAGGCAGATGGAGATGAACAGAAGGACAAAGCACCTTGCAGAGTATTTGGAAAAAGCATCTCATAGTGTGTTTTATGAGAGTAGTCAGCCTTCCTCTGCTAGAGGTTGAAAAGAGTTTGGGGTGCAGGAGGATTAGGTTTTTGTGCTCTCCATTTGTGGCTGTTGGCAGATCTTTGAATAGATGGAGACTTTTAAGGGGCTGAACTGGCTGGATGGATTGTTGTACTAATTTGCAGGCAGTAAAGGTTTGCCTGGAAATGTTCTGAGAACAGTGGGTGGGAACAGCTGAAAGGGGTTTTTTTCTTTTCCTTGATAGTGATCCTGTTCAGGGGATTAACAAAGTAATTGTAAGTAGACTGGCATAATTTCAGTGAGACAGCAAAAAGCAACACCTGTTAGGCCAGCACTGTCAAGATTCACCTGGAAATCTTATTAGGTGGCTGCTGAGTGTCAGCAAGTGGTAACTGCTTATGTGTGTAGCTTAAAGCAGCAGTGAAACAGCTATTCCTGTTAACTGCTGTGAGGCTGTTTAATAGCTGTGGTTCGCTTATTAATTGGTGCTGTTAGTCTCTGCTGAGAATGCCAATATCTTCTGTGCTTTGGATATGGCCTCTCCACTAGAGGGCTGACTGTTACTCATGGGAAGCATTCCTCCTGCTGCCGGGTCTGAAGTGAATAGTAACTACCTGGGCTAAAAGTGCTGAAGAGTCATTACTGTATTGCTGCCGTCCTGTTCAGGATGTTTGTCTCCAGCTTCTTCAGTGTGCTTTCCTCTTGAGACAGCAGTGATCTTCACAATTAGGACTAAGCTTTGCAAATCAAAGCCTGTCCTGCTTGGTTCTTTTCCCAAAGTCTGTCCTGCTTGGTTCTTTTCCTTTAGACCCCTTTCTCATCATAACCTGTCTGCATACAGTTGCAGGCAAGTATAAGGTAGCAACAAGTGATGTAGTTGTGTGATTAGTGCAGTGCTGAGTCCTTTTCAATCTGTAGAGCTCAAGCCTCTGCTTCATCAGTTTGTTACTGGGATGCTTAGTGTACAGGCCTGCCTGCTGAAGACGGTATCTTCCTCTTCTAAGGCTTTAACAGAATTTCTCAACCTGTGTTTTGTTACAGTGTGTTCAGTTTGTGGATCAGTATGAACCTGTGGTTGTGCAACTCTTGGCAGAAATGATGGATCCCACTTTTGTTTGCACTGTAAGTATTGCATTTAGTTCTATTGAGTATGGGCTTCCATACAGTCCTGCCTACTCTTCTGTATGCCTTTCAGTGTCTTGCATGCACCAACTCTGCTGGAATAAAAATTGGCATGCTTAATGCTTGGAGCAAATATGGTTGTGCAAAGCCTCAGGATTACTGAATGGACAGCTGTCTGACTGCCAGCCTTGTGCAAGGAAGGATAGAGGAAAAGAGCTGCCAGTGGTTATCTGCTGTTGAGGTTCAGTAGTAGTGTGTGCCTTCAATGTGATGAGAAGTTAAATGACATTTATTGAGAAAGCTTCCTTTCTAGAAGCATTGTTTCTCAGAACTTAATATGGAGAAGCTGTTGCGGTAACTTAATTCTTCCTTGTGTCAGATTACTGCTTCATGTTCAGCTGCAAGCGTGACTGCAGTTGTCAGTGCAGCATAGTGCTGTGGGAGCTCCTGAAGCTCGGTCGGGTGGGAAGCTCAGATGTAAAGCTGGAGTTGAGATCTCTTCGTGCAAACAGGAAGATGGTGACCGCTGCTGTTCTTTTCGCAGAAACTTGGAGTCTGTGGATCAGCTAAGCAGCCTCTCCTGGGGGATGATGCTTGTGTTTGGGGTCCAGGTTACTGGTGTAAGAACATGGAGACTGCTGCTCAGTGCAACGTACGTAAAGCAGGGTTCTGCCTCAAGTTTTCTATTGGTCCTTGATAGCTCCTTATAAGTGACTTTTCCAGCTTCTACACCACACTTTCAAGTGGATGAATTCCAGCTTCAGGAAGCAAAAGAGTAATAGCTAGAGATAGTTGAGTTTGATTAGAGGGGCTTCCATAGCCCTTACCTATTTTAAAGCAGATGGTTTCCACTCCCTTTTGTTCCTATACTCCACCTGTCTGCTAGCATTTCAGAATCTATAGTAAGGTACAGTGTGAGCTTTATATTTAATCTGTGTTCCTGTGGCCAACAGATCATGTCATGACTTCTCATCAGGCTCTAAAATTTGGCTTCCAGTGTTGTGGGCTGATGCTTTTTTTGCCACGCCTTACTGGCTAAGGGTCATCAGCATTCTTTCCTGAAGCTTCTGGGTGGGGAGGAGGATGTTCTAGTCCTCTCTGGAATCACTTATTTTCAGAAAAAGAGATTTGCTTCCAAGATCTTGGCTCAGAACAAGGTATTGAATTGCATGTGTAGATGCACACTTGTTTGCAACAGGCTTTTTTCCACTAATGTACACCATTTCTTTCTCTTTAGGCTGTTGATCACTGCAAACGTCATGTGTGGAACTAGAAGAGGAATTTCCAGTTCTGAAAATTTGCCATGGCTCTTTGTGGGCCGAGGTTGGCGGGGAGCTGTATCTCAACTGTCCCTCCTTTCTGCCTCATTAACAAGTTGACCTTCAAGTTCCTTTATTGTAACTCTTCTGTAGCAGTGCTGCTGTTGAAGGATCAGATCTTCATTGTTGATTTAACAAAGATATTTTTGATTGTACAGTTTAACTCATTATGCTCCTAAAAATAGTCAGTGTGTTGTAGTTTTTTAATTGATAGGCTGAAGTGTTTTTAGGTGCTGGGAAGAATGTCAGAGAAGGTGAAATAAGACAAGGCTATTATCTTTTAACTTAAAAAAAGAACAAGATGGTGACTAAATTTTCATATGTCTTTCTGTAGTCAGCATTGGGATGATTACATGCTTTGCATTTTTAACATCTGGCTAGAATGTTCATTTTCTATGTAACCGTAGGGAAGTCTTAAGGGATAATGCTGAACCTGGGAATCCCTTCAGCTGGAATTTTCAAAGCTCTACAGGTGCAGAGAAGGGGCTTCATGTGCCCAGCTAACTTTCAAAATAACTGGTACCAAAAAAGATGCATTTGCATTTGAGTTATCACACCTATGGCTCATGGTGGTGTTACAGTTAAGGAAACCCTCCCTCAACCTTTTGATCATGTCCTTATTTCCTTGGACTGTTTGATATAAGCATGCGTGTTCTACTGTCAAGCCCAGTACAGTGGGATTTCAGTCTCTCGAAGCATGCCGATGTAGTTAAGGAATGGCTCCCTTTTTCTTTACCCTTGTTGCTCAATTCTGCTTAGTCTTGCAGCTTCCTACATGCAGCCAGCTGGGTGCCAAGGAGGTGGAGTGAGCTGGGTCGGTAGAAGATGGAGGGGGAAAAAGTCAGCAGGGGCTGTGCATATGTCAAAAGTGAGTTCAGCACAGAGGGCAGAACACATGGAAAAATGGGCTTTATTGTAAACCACTGGTTTGTTCCTTGATGTGTTCTTGTTCTCGTGGCATACTTTGTTATCTAAATTTTCAGAGGCACTGTGAGGCTCACGGGCAGTTTCCATTCCTGCCACCCCATCTCACTTGACACTCACCTTTGAGAGGTTCAAATATTATTTTTTTTCCCAGAGCTCCCATTTCTGCTGGGACATGTGTCTGACTAGCAAGTGGAGATGGCAGAGAGTAAGAGCACTGTAGTAGGTATTTGGCAGCTCTGCTGACCTACCTGACAACCTGCCTTTCACGCCTCTGCACCATCCCACTGAAACATCCCGGACTTCTGAACAAAAGCCTTTTGAGGCAGGCTGCTACCCTGGAAACAAGTCAGGCTCTTGAGGGGTAGGGGCCTCAAATGAGAATCATCCTTACAGCACTTGAGATGGACCTTGCACTCCTTAGGAGCGTTTAGTACACGGTTCTGGTCAAGTTAACCCCCAAAACAGAGGCACCAAAGTAGCTCTGAGGAGAGCTTTGGGAAGGAGAAGCTGGGCAGAGGTGGAGCTTTGAAAATTCCAGTCCTGTTCAGAAAGGAGCTGGCAACTGCTGCTGTTCCTGTGGTGTCATGGGTGAGGCAGGAGCTCCGTAACTGCTTTAGAAGCAAGCAAAGTAATTTTCATGCTGTTTTAATGGAAAACCACTTGACTGCAGCTTTTTAGTTACTACGTGTACATGCTAAATGTCTGGGCAGTGTTGGCAGATAGCAGTACGGGTTTGTCTTTCCTGTTTGCATTTGTACAGAACACTGAAGCACTCGTGGCTATAAAAAGGCAAATAATTTCCCCTAAAAACGTAAAATACCCGCAGCTTTCTGTCTTGGCAGGCTTGTGCAGTGGTTCCAGTGGTGTATCCCAGTTCGGGTACGTATGCCATATTGGAAATGGGCTCTCTTCAGCATTGCTGCCTGCGAGGTACAGGTTGTGTTACACTATGGCGTGTAGTATGGTATTTGATCTTTTTAACCCAATGGTGTTCTCTTAACATGAATTTTTTTGGCGGGAAGCAGGGGTGGATTGAGACTTGCTCTTCCATGTTGACAAGGTTTTAATTTTCTTGGGTTTTTAGTAGTAAAGGATTATGCTGGCAACCTGTTGGGTGAGGCGAACTGGTGGAAATCCTGTGCTGCTGCTCAGAGTCTCTTTAGTTTTCTCCTTTCCTGTGGACTGTGGCACCTGACCTGCTTGAGTTGTGCTGGGGGGACATGTGCAGTTGCTTTCTAAAGAACATTGTCTTGATTTTTGCACAAAAGCTTCCTTAATGAACAATAAAAACTTCTGTAAACTGATGTGTGTTTCATTTCCTTACTGTGTGCTAGTTGCTGAAGGGTCTTGTTAGCTTCCCCTTTGCTGCAAAGTCAGGAGAAGGCACATCCCAAAATGTCAGTGGGAATCAGGCTGAATGACAGGACTCTAGTTCCCACTGAGTTGCCATTGCCTTGCAACATGGCATGTCCCATCAAGCCTTTGCTATATTGAGCACAGTTGCAGGTTAGAGGATTGCTGCTGCTGTTCTCTTCCCTGGACAAACACAATGCCTGATGTGAGGCAACAGCCCCATGTTGCAATTCCTCTGCCTTGTGTGGGCTGGAGGGAGTTCTTTCTGAAGCTGCTTGGTATCAGGCTTCAGTGCTGACTTGCATTTAATGTGGCTGCTTCCCTTTTGTCTTCATTCCTTGCTTTATTTTGAATAAAACAAGTGTCCTTTAAATGCTTTAAGCAAACTATGAGGTTACCTCTAAATGCACAATTCATTCAGTTACCCTAAATGTACTGGTCTTTAATATCTTCGCTGCTGACCTTTTTTTTGTGAGGCTGATGCATTCATCCCTTATGAATGCATCATAAGGGTGAATTCGGTGAAGAGTATGGGAAATAGCTCCATTGCATGGTGCTAGGACAGTTCTCCCTGGCTGTGCCCACCCTTTGCAGTCAGGAGTGGTTAGTGTTGAGCAGCAGGTTCTGGGCTGGTTTTGACTTCCCGGGAATACCTGCCTGGCTCTGGTCCCTCCCTCCACTTGCAGACTGGTGATGATTTTATAATCAAGCCATAAAGAGAGGGGTGTGGTAATTGCCCTGTGTGGGTGTGGGTTCTCACTACTTCTCTCAACCCATCCAAGATTCCTCAGTCTGGGAGCAGCACAGGAGAGGAACCAGCCACTGAGGACTATCTTAGGAACGGCATGGAGAGCAAATGGAGTGGCTGGGTGCTGCTGATCCTTTCTGTGTGCCTGGGCTCCTACCAAGGTAAGGCCAGGCATGGGGGTAGGACTCAAGGAGAGCCCAGAAAACCCCTCAGAACCCCAAAACTATTTGCAGCTATAGTGTTTACGCTCCATAGTGTGCTTCCTCGTCCCTCTGTGGTGGTGGTTAGGCCAGAGGAGAGTTGAGGCTGGTGGCACCACTGGCTGCTTGACCTCTTGCCTACCTGGACATGAGCATTGCAACTTCTGCTCTTAAAGATGATGTTGGGGCAGAAAGTGGTTTGTTCCCTCCATTTGGACAGCAGGGATTCAGATGGACATGGTGTTTTGCTGAGGTATAGGGAGGGAGGCCACTTAATGGTGTGTCTCAGCAGCAATGGGGTGGAGGGCACTGGGACCTGGCTGTGTACGAGTGATGTGGGGGAACACAGCAAACTTCATTGTCCTTGCATGACAGAGTGACCATGGTGCCACCTGAAGCTGTTCCCCTTGTCACTGGGGCTTTAGGTATCTGAGCACATCCTCCTGCAGATTATTTTATGCTGCTGCCCCCTAGGACTCCCCATAAGAGTGAGGAAGCGATACCTGACTCTTT